TAGGTTCTCTGTTTACTCTTTTGGTGAAATCTTTTGATAAGCTAAGTGTTTAATTTTTAGAAGATTCCAGTTAGCTAGCTTATCTTCTGGTGTTTGTATATTGTTAGTTATGGTTTGTATCCTATTTATGCCGTGTATTAGGGCCTCTAGCGTTGAACTTATTTTGTCTTCTATGATCTTCATAGTTTTTGGTTTTATATTCAGGTCTCTGATCCATTGTGAATTAGCTTTGTGTATGGTGTGAGGTGTGGGTCCTGTTTCATTTTTTTGCAGATGGACATCCAGTTTTGCCAGCACTATTTGTTAAAAAAACTGTCTGTTCCCCATTTGATGGACTTTGGGGCCTTGTTGAAGATCAGGTGACCGTAGGTGGATAGATTTACATCTGGGTTCTCAATTCTGTTCCATTGGTCAGTGTATCTGTCGTCGTACCAGTACCAGGCTGTTTTGACTACCATAGCTGTATAGTAGGTTCTGAGGTCAGGTAATGCAAGTCCTTCTACTACTTTATTCTTCTTCAATAGTGCTTTACTTATCTGAGGCTTCTTCCCTTTCCATATAAAGTTAATGATTAGTTTTTCCATGTCTTTAAAGAATGTTGTTGGTATTTGGATTGGGATTGCATTGCATTTGTAAATCGCTTTGGGTAGAACTGACATTTTTGCAATGTTGAGTCTACCTATACATGAGCATGGTATGTTTTTCCATGTACGTAGATCTCTTTTGGTGTCTTGCAGTAGTGTTTTGTAGTCTTCTTTGTATAGATCTTTTACATCCCTGGTTAGATTTATTCCTAAGTATTTTACTTTTTTAGGGGCTATTATAAATAGTATTTTTTCCTGATTTCCTTTTCATTGTTCTCTTCATTGGTATATAGGAATCCAACTGATTTTTGTACGTTTATCTTGTATCCTGCTACTCTGCTGAATCCTTCTATTAGTTTCAGTAGTTTTCTCATGGAGTCTTTAGGGTTTTCTAGGTATAGTATCATATCATCCGCAAATAGAGACAGTTTTACTTCTTCCTTACCAATCTGGATGTACTTTATTTCTTTTTCTTGCCTTATTGCTCTAGCTAGGATTTCCAGCAATGTTAAATAGGAGTGGTGATAAAGGGCTTCCTTATCTTGTTCTCAAGGGGAATGTTTTCAGCCTCTCTCCATTACGAATGATGTTAGCTGTTGGTTTTGTATAGATGCTCTTTATTATGTTGAGGAATTTCCCTTTTATACCTATTTTACTGAGAGTTTTTATCAGGAATGGGTGTTGGACTTTGTCAAATGCCTTTTCTGCGCCAATTAAGATGATCATGTGATTCTTTTATTTATGTGGTGAATTATGTTCACTAATTTTCTAACATTGAACAATCCTTGCATACCTGGTACGCATCCCACTTGGTCACAGTGTATTATTTTTTTTGATATAATGCTGAATTCTATTGGCTAGAATTTTGTTGAGAATTTTTGCATCTGTATTCATGAGAGATACTGATCTGTAATTTTCTTTTTTTGTGGTGTCTTTGCCTGGTTTTGGTATCAGGGTTATGCTGGCTTCATAGAATGAATTCAGAAGTATCCCTTTTCTATGTTCTGAAATAGTTTGAGTAGTACTCATGTAAGCTCTTCTCTGAATGTTTGGTAGAATTCTCCAGTGAAGCTAAGATTGTCAATTTCAACAAAAAAACCTACCAGAATTTTCACAGAGATTTCCCTGAATCTATAGATCAATTTGGGGAGAACTGCTATCCTAAGAATAGTGATTCTTCTAATCCATGAACGTGGCATATATCTCAATTTGTTTAGATGTTCCTTAATCTCAGCAATACTTTGTAGTTGTGTTCCTCTGGTTAATTTCCAGAGCTATAAAATGGTTGTTTTTGACAACTGTATCTACTTCTAAACTTTTTTTTTGAGAAGATTCATCAACCTCTTCATGCTACCATAATGAGAAGTCCAATTGTACCAACTATTTTTTGAGAATTACAGATGCAGTGTCTTCTCTCCACTAACTCCCGCAATACATCCTTTTTTGATTACCACTGCTTCTGGTAGCCCTCCAACTAACTTGTGGTTAAGTTTCAACTGGAGATTTGCAAGAAGAGAAGGAAAATGCAGACTTTGCACTACCATATTACAATAGTTACAAGTAATTTTAAACAGATTGCTTAATTTGTTTAATTAAAAACAAAGTTAACCTTTGCGTTATTATTGAATAAAAGCATGGACTTCAGAGCAAGACTACCTGTGTTTAAATCTCATTCTAACACTTCCCAGTTCTGGGATCTAGGAAAGTAGCTTGACCCTTCTTTGCCTCAGTGTTTTCATCTATAAAATAGGAAGTATAATAGGATATACCTCAAAGAGTTATTATGAGAATTAAATGAGTAGTATAATGTAACTTAGAAGAGAGCCTGTACATAGTAAATTCTACCTAAATATTAGTTAATTTCGAATGTCTGTGAATGAGAAGGTTTTACTATTTATACTTTCACTTGTCTGACTTATTATAAGACTACATAGGAATATAAAAAATGCTCATAACATTTTAAATGAAAAGGTAGATTACTAAATGGAATTATACATGACTGCAATTATGATAGAGGCAAAATCTGGAAGGTAACATTTAAAATAGAAACAGTTGTACTGTGATATTTAGATTATGAGTAACTTTCATGTTTAATATTTCTACATTTTTTGAAATGTGGCTTTTCTGTAAAATAATAATTAAAAAAAGAAGACATAACTATAAATTACATGTTTTCTTATATAAACCATTTATTTTCACTCCCCAGCATACACGACAAATTTTATTTGCAGTAAGTTATCTTTCAATGAAAAACAGAGCTTTGAAAATATCATCCAATTTTTTTCTATTTTAATTTTTCATCTTGCGGTTTAAAAATAGGAATGCAAGATATCTATTAGTTACACAAATGTAACTTTAAAAATTAATCTAGCAATTGATTTTTAGCTTCTATATCTGTAGCTTTGTTGAGAAGGAAGCCAGTTTTCTTCAAGCTAGTCCCCAATAGAAAGGTGTGTGGTAGGAGCAAATGCACTTTTTTGTTATCCGTCTTGTAGAAAATACCCAATTTAAACCAAACCAGAAAGAGACGGTGAAAATATGCAGTGAGGTGGAGTAAGTGTTAAGCATAGAGAGAAACAAAATCTAAACAACAAAACACAGCAAAAATAGAGAAGTAAAAGTTGTATAGAAGCAGCAAAAATAGAGAAGAAGTTCAAATGGAAACAGAAATCCTGATCCTTCCCTATTTCCCCAGGGTTACATATTGCCTTGTAACCATTTGTCATTAAATGTTTGCCTACCACATGAATTTGTTCTCAGGGTTGTACTTATACTCGATTGTACATTTCAATTTAGTAATATAATGTTCTATTTTATAAACTTAGGAGGAGTCAGGCTTTTATCTTTATCCTTCAGGCCTCATCAGACTACAAGGAGTCTTCACAATGCATAGCATACCTAAGTAAGTCTCTTCCTTATGGATGTATTAGATCTCAACACAATTTTAATCAAAAAAACATTTTAAAAAATTCTCTCTAAACTCAGCAGAACCTTAGAGTAATGATGATATTAAACCAAAAGCAGAATACAAGATTTGATCTATGTTCAATCTGATTATTTCCCAATACAATTTTTATTACACTGTAATTAAATCTTTTACTGGATAATTTGCTTAGTAACTCTACATAAAGAGGCCTTCTAGAATTTAATATTATTATTTTTATCTCGAGGTAAAATTCTTAATTTAACAGAATCTTAAAATTCTGTCTTGTAGATAGAAATGATATTTAATTTTATAGCCATTAGTCAAACACACAAAATAATTATGTGATCTAGTTGGATAAAGTTCAAATATTGTCAGTTTTTAATAGAAATAACTAACAGCTATTTTTGAAAGCATATACACTATTAATGGTTTAAAAAAATCCATTTATAATACTATATAATACTTATTATACAGCCATTTTCTACAATTCTTGTATATATTAGCTTCGTAAGTCTTTACAACATGAATAGTGTACTTTCTAAAGGCGTTTTCAATCAAACAAAAAAAGTAATTTCTTAAGTTATTAGAAAACAAAATAAGTCACAGGGAAGTTGTGAGGGAAACAGAGAGATACGGAACACAATAGAAAAGTGAGTTATTCATAGAATAAGGAGTCTCTATTTTACAACTATTTAGTCATGGTCCTTCAGGCTATTAATGGAATAACTGATAATTAAACATAATACTTTTATTGGAGAAAAATCCTAAAAATCATTATAAAACACAATTATCCAAGCCTTCTTATTTAAATATAAATAGAATCACTAAAACTTCTAGTTAATATTAGGATTTTTACAGCTGTGTGTTAAGAAGTGGCACAAGAAATGCACAATGGCAGCTTGAAAAATCTGATACTAAATGGAAAAACATTCCATTAAGTATTTGAAAATTTGTTCATACATCTGGCTAATTTTAAATTCAATCTATAGCTTTCCTTTTATTCAAGCTACAGAGTTTAGGAGAGTTGGTTTCTTTGGATTCTCAACTACCAATTGTCAAAAACCAATGGTCTCATTTTTAGCTATTAGCAGTTCTCCGTGGTGAATACAGTATCACAGATGTCATAATTCCACCAAGTTTTGCTTGCTCTTGCCAAGGGCCAACCATTTGAATTTCAAAGTATTGCTGAACTTAGCAAGCCATGGCAGAATAAGTGATGAGCATGAGAGAAAAGAGTTAAAAAGAAAATAGATGAAAAGTAAAATATAGAGGTCCCACAAAATAAATGGGACAAAGGATAAGATGAGATAAGCAAAACTCTCTCTCCAGAAGACTTCTGTCACAGATTGGTATAACAAAAAATTTCCTGTCCCATGTAAGTAATCTTAGTAAGGAGAATTACTAAATCAGAAATGAACACCAAATATAAAATTAAACCCACAATTCCTATCACAGCATATGCTCAATACAAATGAGACTGAATGACTCACCTTATCAAGTTCACTTGTTAGCTTTTTATTTTCTTCAGTTAATAACACTTTTTCTCGTTCATACTGTTGCTTGAACTCATTTTCAAATTCTTCTCTTTCACTTTGACTAACACAATTCAAAACATAAAAGGAAAGTAAGTAACTGAATTAAAAGTCAACTGAAAACTTGAAAGAAATCATTTTTGCAACAGCTATCATGTAATAGAAGCCCTGAAGGCACAACGGTTAAGAGCTCAGCTGCTAACTAAAAGGTTAGCAGTCTGAATGCTCCCAGCAGCTCCACGGAAGAAAGAGCTGGCAATATGCTTCCATAAAGATCCCAGCCAAGAAAACAGTATGGGGCAGTTCTACTCTGTCACATGGGGCTGCTACGAGTCAGAACTGACTCGACGGCACACAACAACAACAGATAAATATCAGATTGAACTCCTGGAGCCAAAAGTTAATGAAATAAGCTACTAAAATGAAAACAGTATTTGCCATCCGTTTCACATTCATTATGTTTTACCTAACGACCAATTAGTCTGAGACCAAGTTAGGTACTTTGTATATTTGCAGCACAATACTCTTAGAACATATAAAGTTTTGGGCTCTTATTTAAGATTGGCCCAGACTCACTATCTAGTTGTTTTTTTTCAATTGTACTTTAGATGAAGGTTTACAGAACTAGTTTCTCAATAAACAGTACACATATTGTTTTATGACATTGGTTAACAACCCCATGACATGTCAACACTCTCCCTTCTCGACCTTGGGTTCCCTATTACCAGCTTTCCTGTCCCCTCCTGCTTTCTAGTCCTTGCCCCTGGGCTGGTGTGTTCCTTTAGTCTTGTTTTATTTTATGGGCCTGTCTAATTTTTGGCTGAAGGGTGAACCTCAGGAGTGACTTCATTACTAAGATAAAAGGGTATCTGGGGGTCATATTCTTGGGATTTCTCCAGTCTCTGACAGGCCAGTAAGTCTGGTCTTTTTTTTTGTGAGTTAGAATTTTGTTCTACATTTTTCTCCTGCTCTGTCCGGGACCCTCTATTGTGATCCCTGTCAGAGCAGTCAGTGGTGGTAGTCAGGCACCATCTAGTGTACTGGACTCAGTCTGGTGGAGGCCATGGTAGATGTGGTTCATTAGTTCTTTGAACTAATCTTTCCCTTGTATTTTCAGTTTTCTTCATTCTCCCTTGCTCCCAAAGGGGTGAGATGAGTGGAATATCTTACATGGCCGCTCTCAGGCTTTTAAGAGCCCAGATGCTGCTCACCAAAGTAGAACGTAGAACATTTTCTATATAAACTATGTTATGCCAATTGAGCTGGTACTCACAGCCCCCAGACCAGCAATTTGGTCCCTCAGAGAGTTTGGATGTGTCTTTGGAGCTTCCGCAACCTTGTCTTATACAAGTTGTGCTGACTTCCCCAGTATTGCTTATTGTATTGCCCTTCACCAAAGTTACCACTTATCTATTTAGTGTTTTTCCATCCTCACCCCTGCCCTCACTCATAACCATCAACAGTTGTTTCTTTTTTTGTGTAAACCTTTTCATGAAGTTTTTACAGTAGTGGTCTCCTACAATATTTGTCCTTTTGTGACTGACTTATTTCACTCAGCCTAATACCATCCATATTCATCCATGAAATGTTTTGCAGATTCATCACTGTTATTGTTGCATAATACTCCATTGTGTGAATATACCATAATTTGTTTATCCATTCGTCTACTGATGGGCAGCTAGGTTGTTTCCATCTTTTTGCTGTCGTGAACAGTGCTGCAATGAACATGGGTGTGCATATATCTATTCATGTGATGGCTCTTATTTCTCTAGGATATATTCCTAGGAATGGGATTGCTGGATCATATGGTATTTCTATTTCTAGCTTTCTATGGAAGAGTCATATCATTTTCCAAAATGGGTGTAACATTTTGCATTCCCACCAGCAGCGCATAAGAGTTCCAATCTCTTCGCAGCCCCTCCGACATTTGTTATTTCTTGTTTCTTTGATTTGTGCCAGTAATGCCGGGGTTGGATGGTGTCTTAGTCATCTAGTGCTGCCATAACAGAAAACACCACAGGTGGATGACTTTAACAAAGAGAAAATTATTCTCTCACAGTCTAGTACGCTAGAAGTCCAAATTCAGGGCATCAGCTCCAGGGGAAGGCTTTCTCTGTTGGCTATCGTAGAAGGTCTTTGTCATCAATCTTCCCTTGGTCTGGGAGCATCTCAGCACAGGAAACCCTGCTCCTGGCACTGCTTTCTTGGTGGTATGAGGTCCTCCTGTCTCTCTGCTGGCTTCTCTCTTTTATAAAATCTCAAAAGAGACTGCCTTAAGACACTATCTAATTTTGTAGACCTCATCAATACAACAGCCGCTAATCCATTTTATTACATCATAGTGATAGAATTTACAGCACACAGGGAAATCATATCAAAAGACAAAACAGTAGACAATCATACAATATTGGGAATCATGACCTAGCCAAGTTGACAGATATTTTGGGGGAAAAGAATTCAATCCATGACAGATGGTATTTCATTGTGGTTTTGATTTGCATTTCTCTAATGGCTAGTGATCACAAGCATTTCCTCATGTATCTATCTGTTGGCCGCTTGAATGTCTTCTTTGGTGAAGTGTCTGTTCATTTCCTTTGCCTATTTTTTAATTGGGTTATTTTTGTTGTAGAGGTGTTGGATTTTCTTGTAGATTATGGAGATTAGACCTTTGTCTGATTTGTAATACCCAAAAAATTTTCCCCAGACTGTAGGTTCTCTTTTTACTCTTCTGCTGAAATCTTTTGATGAGCATAAGTGTCTAATTTTTAGAAGATCCCAGTTATCTAACTTATCTTCTGGAGTTTGTGTGTTGTTGGTTACGGTTTGTATCCTGTTAATGCCGTGTATTAGGACCTCTAGCGTTGATCCTATTTTTTCTTCTACGAACTTTATAGTTCGTGGCTTTATATTTGGTCTTTGATACATTTTGAATTAGTTTTTGTATATGGTGTGAGGTATGGGTCCTGTTTCATTTTTTTGCAGATGGACATCCAGTTTTGCCAGCACTATTTGTTAAAAAAACTGTCTGTTCCCCATTTGATGGACTTTGGG